GGGCTGGGCAGGGGCCTGCCCAGGACAAGGGGTGGGGAGGGAGAAGACCCCAGTCCCAGAGAGCTGGCCCCGCTAAGGCCTGGAAGGAGGGGAGTGCCCGGGGACTCCTGCTTCCTTTTGGGGTCTGACTGGTGCCCCAGCCCACCCCAGAGCCTTGGTTGGCCCAGCGGCTTGCCACGTGACCAACACCAGGGATGCCCTTCCAATGTAGCTCCGAGGGGGAGGCATCAGGGGTGAGGGGGAACTCGCCAGACCCACAGGAGCCCAGGCAGAGCGGGAGTTGGGACCCCACCTTGGAAACGCAAGCCCACACTCCATATGCATGTGCACATTCAGCCTGTCCCCGGCGCCCTACCCTATCTTGTCTTCCACGGCCTCAGGGACCGAAGGGAACATCAGATATAGTCCCGTTGGTTTGAAAAAATAAAAACTTTAATATTTCATTAGCTAAAAAAATGTTTTCAAAAGTATGTACTGGGGGTAGGGGGTGGGGGCTTGGAGCCCTGCCATGGGGGTGGGGTGGGCGTGGAGAAGGGAGGGAAAGGCAGCAGCCCCCCTCCCCCAGCCTGCTCCCGCTAGGTGGCCCAGGCCCTGAGAAAGGGGACCTCCCAAGCCCCCCAGGCCGGCCCCTCTCTGTTCCCCGGCCCGGTGAGTGGGGAGACAACTGCGAGGGGTTGGGGGGGCAAGAGCTCCGCGACTGTGCACGAGCGTGTGCTGGAGTAGGCAACACAGACCTCGCACCACCTGCCATCCTCTCCCAGCCCGATCCCCCATCAGATTGGGGTCAGGGGGCAGGACAGCAGAGGCAGAGGGTCCAGGAGCATGCAGTGCCCCCCGTGGGTCCTGGGGAAGGGCAGACAGTAGCTCATGACCAAGATGGTGGGAGGGTGTGACAGGAGGGGGAGTGTGACGGCCCCACAGGAGGGTCTGGCGGGGGTTACTGGAGGGCCTCATTGGCTGAGGGGCCAGCCTCGCCGTCGTGGCTGGCCGTCTCGAAGCCATGCTCGGCGCCCATCATATCCGGCTCTGTCTTACCTGTGTAGCTGAAGGAGGTGGTGGAGGAGTCACCCTCGGCCATGAGTGGCTTGACCTTGGAGATCCATCTCTTACGCATAACGCGGCGGGCGTTGGTGCACATGTCGGCCACGATGGTGTTCATCTCCCTCTCCCTGAAGCTGGGAGTAAAGTTCTGGCAGTAGCCTGTGTGGGCAGAATGGGGAGCTCAGGCTGACCGTGGCCTTGGCCTCCCATCCTCCAAATGGGCACTCAGCCATGCTGTTCCAAAATCTCCCCACTACACACCCACACCCACCCACCCACCCACACACACACACACGCGTGTGCGGCACCCCTCAACATCCCCCAGAGGTGAGAGAGCCGAGGCGTTGCAGACAGCACACTAAAACACATCCTTGGGCCCCGGGCCTGACTGAGCTTGGCCATGAGGTGTGGATTTGATACGAGATGGCCCAGTGCTCTTGAAAAATGTGGGTCATTTGCCAGAATTTAGAAGCTGGGCAATTCCACGTGAAAATCTAGCCTTCCCTCCTGACAACTGGCACGTTTTAGACCCTCTCCCATAGGCTTTGTGGCTTCCCTTCAGTGTACCCCACCGCAAGAAATCTCCAATCCTAGCCCTCTTCCCAACAAGCCTAGGCTGAACCTCAGAATCCTTCTTAACACCTAACTCTACCCATCCATCAGGATCAACAACACCAGGGAAAAGGACCATCTGCCCACCCCAGGCCCCCCACCACCCCGACCCAGCAAGCCAGACACTCACACTTGACGGCATGGAGGATGCCACTATCCAATGGTTTGCGGCTGAGGTTATTGGAAGGACGGATGCCAGTGCCGCAGCTGTTGGCCAGGGTGATCCTAGGTAGGGGCCAAGGAGGAGGGGAGTCAGGCCTGCTGTGGTGGTGGGGGGGGCACAGGGCAGCCCCATTCCCTCCACTCTGGGGGCTCTGGCATGGGCCTCACCGGTCAAAGAAGGTGCCCAGGAGGCGCCGCAGCAAGATCCTGTGCTCCGTGCCTGCGTTGACATGGCAGTTCATGAGCTGCGCCCTCGTGATATACACGTTGGTGCCTGGAAGTGGGGGGGCCAGAGGATGGCCGGGGGCCTAAACTGCCACACCCCCCACATGGCCAGGCTCTGGCCTGGGCTGGACCAAGACCCTCCTTGACAACTCAACCCAAAGTGGCCACATCAGCACTCAGGAAAGGACAGAGACTGTGGTGCCACCATCCATGGGGCACCCATGACGGGCTCTTGCTCACACAAACACCAGAGCAGGCAGCAGAGGCTCACACCCTGGCACCCTGGCTCCAAGGGCCAGATTCTTAACCACTGTGTTAGCTCACCCTCAAACCACGCTATGAAACCACCCCATGTGGCCAACAGTGCTGCCAACACTTACACCAGCTTCTGCGGTGGCCACCTAGAGGTCAGTCTTTGATTCGTGTCAGCTGCCCCAGGACACAGCCAGTGGGCAGCAGGGCTGAGACTGGACCCTGAGTCTGGCTCCTAACCACTACGCCATAGGCTGCCGGCCCAGAGGACACCGCGGCCCCAGGTGGAGGAAGGAGGAATTCAGGGAGGAAGTGAGGCTGGCCCACCTGTCACCAGCTCCAGCTTCTCAAAGGGGTCACCCTCCTCAGAGAGCTTTGGGTGGCAGCGGTTGCCAATCTGTTTGACGAGCTCAGCCAGAAGAGACTCCTGGTCTTGCTGCACCCATATGCGATTCACGGACTTAGGGGCCACATGCTCATGGAAGGCCTCCACCTTCCCGGCTGGAAGCGGGAGAGAGTGGCGTGCTGGGGACAGGGGCAGTAGGAGGGTAATAGGACCAGGCTTGGGGGCCGGGGGGGCGCCTCACCTGTCTGGTCGACATTCACCATGCTGCGCATGGTGTGCATGTTGCAGATCTGCGGGTAGTGCTCATCTGTGCCCTCGTCGCTCGCCTCCTCCTCCTCATCCGCCTTGCTGTCGTAGGAGCTGGGGCTGTCGCTGGTGTT